GAGGAAGAAGAAGGAGGAGGGAAAAGGAGGAAGAAGAGGAAGAAGAAGGAGGAGGAGGAGGGAAAAGGAGGAAGAAGAGGAAGAAGAAGGAGGAGGAGGAGGGAAAAGGAGGAAGAAGAGGAAGAAGAAGGAGGAGGAGGAGAAGAAGGAGGAGGAGGAAGAGGAGGAGAAGAAGAAGGAGAAGAAGATGATGATGATTTACTCACCCACCTGCTGGGCTGGGGTGGGAGGAGAAGAAGGAGGAGGAGAAGAAGAAGGAGAAGAAGATGATGATGATTTACTCACCCACCTGCTGGGCTGGGGTGTAGTTCAGTGTAGAGCATTTAGATAGAATGTATGAGGCCCCTGAAGAGAATTCCTGCTGAGAATAGTAGGTAATATAGACCAAACTAGAGAGGGTCTTGAATGCTTTTAGAATATTTAAGTGACACTATCATAGAATTCTTTAGGAGCAAGCATCTAACTTAAACGCATCATTTAACAGAGGAAGAAAGAACTAGGAGCCCAAAGAGGGGAAGACACTTGTCTCAAGTCACACAGGACAGTGAAAGTTGCTTCAAGCATTGACTAGCAGGAATTTTAGGAACGAGCTGGAAAATGGAACAGAAATTAGGAAGAACTCAAGAGCAATAAGCACCAGATCCAGAAATGTAAAGCCAACATAAAAAGAAAACCATCTCAAAGGGAGAAAAATATCTTGCTGAAGGTAGAGTCAGTATGTGTCAGAAAAGAAAAAGAGGTCAGTGATCCTACACAGGTCTGTGGAATTCTAGACAATAGTGATTTGCTAAGTTATTATATGTTTTCTACGTGCCAAACATGATTGTAGGCAGTCTACAGATATTAACTTATTTAAGATTCACAGCAATCCTATGAGATGAAACACCACTATTATTATCAGTTCTTTTACAGAAAATGATATGAAGGCAGAGGGAGGGGAGAAGTAGCTTCCCTTTGGGCACACAGCTAAAAATCAGCAGTCACGACTGAATTCCCAGCGGTCTGCTTCCAGAGCTTATTCTTCTTAACCAGTCACATGTTCCTCGCAGAAAAGAAATGGTTCAGAGAAGTGTCAGTTCCTGGGAAGAACTGGGGATTTTCCATTAGATGAGGCTCTGGTATAATGTGAAAAACAGAGATTCCCTTCTCAGTGCTAACATAACTTCACTCTTAACCTGAATGCTATTCCCTCTTCTGCAAGCAAGCAACAAAGCATGTGCAAAGCAAGTTATGCACAGTGTCATCTGTCACTTGCTACCACTATCCACCGGGACAGCACGGGCATAGTTCTCCCCGGATGGGTCACCTAGGTCAAAGAGCAGATGGCCCTTCCGGGTTGCTCCCTCTTCACTTCCGAATGTCAAAAACAATCTTCACAGCCCAAATGAGAAGAACGCGTGCGGGTGTATCCTCCCCACCCAGAGCTCCAGCTTTCTCAGTGTGGGAAGGAGTTACACTTTCTTCAAGCAGCCTGTCCTAGACAGAAACATTTTCACCAACTGTGTAGTACGGAAAACACACACATACACAGGAGCAGCTCCTTCAATCATTTTGTGAGCAGATTATCGGAAAGGAGCTCTGCCCTCATTTCTCATATTTTGCACAAGCCGAAAAGGCGTAAAAGCCATAGCTGTGTGCGGAGACCGGGGAACAGGAGCTCGGCTGAGGAGCGAGGGTTTTCCCTGTTCCCCTCCCTAATGAGAGCAAGCTGTGCTCAGGTTAAGGCATGCGGAAATTGAAATGACAGCCCACTCGAGTGTAGGGATTCAGAAACCAAAGTCCTGAGTTCAGAAAGAAGCTCCCCAGGGCTGGGGGCGGGGCCCAGCGGCACAGCGCCACCTAGCACGTGTGACGCCCCGCGTTCGATTCCCGGCCCTGCCAAGGGAAAAACAGAAGAGGAAGGAATAAAGTAACACGGTTATTAAGAACCAAGGACTGAGTTTTATTGCCCTGAAGTGAGGAGGCGTTTGTGCTGCGCTGCTGTGGGCTCCTCAGGATGCAAAACCAAGGAACAGCACTGCCCCACCTGAGACACCTAGTCAGCATCCCTCTGGCAGTGTCAGGGATTTTTCCTGCTCTGAGGAAAGCTCCTGGACCCGACGTGAGCAGCTGAGTGTCCTCTGCTTGGAGGCGCTGTTGGCATCAAACTCGAATCCGGAGGAATCAGTCTAAGGAGAGAGCAGGAGGAAGGAAAGTCATCAGGGGGATCCCTCTCCTCCCCACGACCTCCCTCTGCCGAGAGCACACCCTGCTGAGGTAGCGGCGGAGCCCTCCTTGTTCCTCAGTCACCTCCAAGTACCGTTCTCACAGGCCCCCACGTCACTCCTCTCCCACTGAAAACCACCCCTCTGTCCCTCATCTTGCCTGTAAGTGGGTCCCCAGCTCAGCCGATATGGCTAACGGTGCTGAACACGGGCTCCACACGCACGGGCCTGGGGACCCCTGTGTGCTCCCCCTGCCACGGCGTAATTCTGGCACACCCAACTCACGCCCCTCTAGGTGACATACCACCTGCGCAGGGCCTTTGGAAGTAGACGATGAGGACAATGCCCACGATGATACCCAGCACACCCAGGCCAAAGGCAACACCACACAGCACATTCTCCAGGAGATCCGAGGGCAGAGCATTGTGGGGCACTGGGAGAAAAGGGGGCAGGGCAGATCAGCACGGAGACCTGGCTGAGGCGCCTTCTGCCCAGAGGAACGACTTGGGTATCTGGGATAGCAAGGGAGAAGCTGAGGCCTGGAAGGCCGAGGTGCGCTACAGGGAGGACGGACGAAGCAAATCCAAGGAGAGAAAGCCGGCCCCTCCCGAGGGTTACGTCTTTTTGCCCCTCCAAGGACCAGATTTCCTGGGAAAGGGACTCACCCCAATAGGCAACTGCTGTGTAGCCATCAATTTCATGAGTCGCCAGGCACGTGAAAAGGTCATAGGGTTCCGGTGTGAAATTTAAATAGGAAAAGGCTTGGAAGTTGAGTCCGCCGAGGGCTGAGACAAAAGTGGGCCCAACTCCTTCCACCGGCTCAGAATTATGCTGCCAGTTCACCGTCAGCGTCGGGGGAAAGAGGTTACTGACGAAGCAGACCAGCGTGTTGGGCTTGCCAAACTCCAGGGGCTTCAGCGTGAACACCTCAGGGACAGGGAAGCCTGGTAGCAGGGTGAGATGTCAGGGAAAGAAAGGACAAGTTTAGACGGTACCTTTGGATTTGGAGAGGGAGAGGCATATGGAGGGAGGGCAGGGAAGGGGTCAACGGATGGAGCTCTGGGACACAGATGAGGGCGGAGCCGCAGCTGAGCCAGGTTCGGGTCACTCTGAGCCGCTCTGCCCCGACTTCCGGCAGCACTTCCTGTGTTGACATCACACTGGCATCTAACAAGCACTGTGTGCTCCTGGAAAGACAGGCACGTGGCCCAGTACTTCCAGTCTCCCTTCCCTCGTGCACAGGTGCTCACAGTGGGCTTCCAGTGGTCCCCGTGAAAGTCATCAAGTCCAACAAATGATTTGGAATGCCTACTCCATGCCAGGTGCCATCTCCTGCCCACAAGAAGATGCAGGGTACAGGCTGTGACAGGTGAAAGGAAAGGTCCTTGGGAAGAACGAGAAGGCACAAGAGCCGGATGGCAGTGACATGAAAGGGAAACACTGCGTGTTCAGACTGGTGAGGGTCAGAACGCCCACCCTCCACGCCACCCCTCAAGACCCTAACCTCTGGACACTGGGATTTTCCCATCGAAGTACGGGTCTAGTTGTTGGATCATAGTCTCGCAGAATTTTTTGTCAAATGCAATGGCAGAGGCATCACTCTTGTCCTCGGCCCAGTCAGCAAATTCAGGCAGGCGAGGCACCCGGGTGCTCGTGGCAAAATTGAAGGAGAAAAGCTGGTCCTCGTCATAGCTCTCAGAGAGCCCAATCGTGGGAGACCCTTCTTGGCAGAATACCGTGTGCCGGAACGTGTGGTTCTGCAGGTCCTCCTGCCACACCGGAGTGTGAGCTGCAAAGAGACGAGGAGGGTTTTGAGGACTAGGAGCTGCGCCCTTGTCTTTAAGTTAGACTGTGGCAAGGCCTGCTCCGGGGCACAGCGATGTGGTGGAAGCCCTTCTGTCTGTTGCTCAGGCTCCCCTCCCACCAGCGGTGAGGACATTAAGGAAGTGCTCCAAGCCTCCCTTGCCCATAAAAAGGCCAACTGTCCCAAGTTGCAAAAAGCAAAAGAGGTCCACTGTCTAAGGTGACAGATTCAGAGTCACTCTGCTGTTTGCGTCCTTGAGCACTATGCAAAGGCACCAGCCAAGGAGGCAGAGGGAGGCCAAAACCCAGCTTGCACTCTGCTCACCACACCATGGGCCCTAGCATGCGGCTGCATCCCCACAGGGGGGACCCGTCTCGTTCACCAAGGCCAAACGCTGGCCTCTCGGAAGCCATGGATGGGTCCCATCTTAGAAGACAGGGAGCAGGAACGACCGAGGCCTCCCTAACCCCTAATGACACTACCCTACCTTACGCCAGACACTCGTGTAAACTGAACACCAGACTTCCCTTCAGGCACTTCCCTGGCACCAGGCCTCTCTGAAAATCTCTTCCACCACCCAAGCCCTCTAGACCGCACCACGGGGGAAGTGGGCCCCTGGCTCCAGGAAATAATCCCTCTTCTAGGAAACTCTTGGCAGCAACCCCCCCACCAGCAGGAAACCTACCCACCATCTAGAATGACAGGTATTTAGAGTAAGAGGGCTCTTCCAGGCTACCCTCCCATTCTGCCCCATCCGTTACAGAGAAGACACTACAGAGCACTAAGCTGCCTTTTGAAGCATCGTAAAGCGAGTACGATGACAGAGTGAGGGCAGATAGCACCATGAGTGGAGGAATGGAAATAACTTTTGCTTTGCTCAAGTCCCAGCCCTACCACTTGCAACAATGTGCACTTGTACAAGTCCCTTAAACTTGTAGTCTCATATTCTTCTTGTGTGCAATGGATAAAATAATCTCTGCTTGAAGAAGTTGTCTGAAGGGGAACACGCCTGACATTGCTTACCACCATAAACAGAAGCTCTCTTTCCCAGCCCGCTGCTGTCTCCACCATCTCCTAATCCACCCACCTCTTAGCAAGCACAGGGCTCCTCTTCGACGCTGGATGGGATCCCTGGGCTCTACAGCAGGCAGGACGGATGTGGAAGGGAGCCCCCTGTCTTACCTGCGGGGAGGGCCCAGGAGTAGGGCAGCAGCCACAGAAGCTGTAGTAGCGGTAGCAGCGCAGCTCCTTGGTTCGGCTTCTGATCCATACCTTCACACCACACTGTAGGCAGGAGATACCAGCCAAGAAGACCCAGGTCCCCAACTCCCTCCCCTCGGGGCAGCTTCAGGTCGATCTTGTTTGGCCGGCTTCTTTCCAGTAGTGCCGCTTGTCATTTCAGCTAAGCCAATCACAAAAGAGTAGGGTTCAACATCATCAGTCACTGGGGAGAGACCAGGGCCAGCAGCCTCCTGCAAACTTAGCTCTTTGGCCAGCTCAGTGTGTGCCCGCGGGGAGCGTCTGCCTCCTAGTGGAGCTCCCTCTGCAGCCTGGGCCGTGAGGGTCTTTACAGCAGCACCGCCTGGTGGCAGGCGGGGCAGTGCATCTTCTGCGGACGCACCCACTCCCCACCCCGAACTCTTGGGACTCCCGCCTCCTCCTCCCTCCATACCGCCTCCTCTTTCTCAGAAAGGTTATTCTCCTGGCATTAGTTCTAACTCATTCTGCGGAAACGGACTGAAAGTGTAGCGAGTGCTGAGTTTTCAGCCCCGTGTTAGAAGTACAAAAAAGATTAAAACAGTCCCTGCCCCCAATATGTGAGCGTACAGTGCAGTTTCAACTTCAATTACCTAGGGGCTGGGGATTTAGCTCAGCAGCAAAAGCGCCTGCCTGGCAAGTGCAAGGTCGTGAGTTCGGTTCCCGGTACTGGAGAAAAACCAAAAAAAAAAAAAAAAAAGTCTGGTCTAGTCAACTTCAATTACCTAAAAAAATTCCAGAAGTAAAGTTTTAAATTGTGCACCATTCTAGGTAGCATAATGAAATCTTGGGCCATCTCTGTTAATCAGCTCTTTGCTAGTGTATCTGAGCTGTATACACCACCTGACTGTTAGTCACTCAGCAGCATCTCCTTTATCAGATTGATCGTCACTGTACCGCAGTATGTTCCAGTGACCTTTATTTTAATAATAGTCCCAAAGCACAAGAGCAGTGATGATGGCAATTCAGATATGCCAAAGGGCAAGAAATTCAAAAGCCCTAACGTGTTTCCTTTAGGTGAAAAGGCAAAAGTTCATGGCTTAGTAAGGAAAGGGCGGGGGGAGACTGGGTGAGTACAGTGCAATAAAACACACACACACACGAGGGGGTCATTCACATAATTTGTGTTACCGTATACTGTTTTACTTGTTTTTATTATTGTTGTTAATCTTGTGTGCCCAATATTTTATCAGTTATGTATGTATAAGAAAAAACACAGTACATACACTTGGAATTTCCCCCAAGAATGAGGAGTGTATCACAGTTCACCAGAGTAACAGACTGGTTTACAAGGCAGGCTTACAGCAGCCTCCTGCAGTCAGGTGTGGAAGAACATAAAAGGGCTGTCTGCCTGCTGGAGAGCCGAATACCCCAGTCGAAGGTGGAAGACCTGGAGCTCACTGCAGAGCCTTGCTGGAGTCCATAAGGCGAAATCAAAGGGTCTATGTTGGAAGACTGAAGAATCTGAGCTGGCAGGCTGAAGAGTCTGTGCTGGAAGCGTGGAAACATGTCCAAAGGTGAGGAGGAAGCCTGGAGCTCCTCCAAGAACACAAGCAAGACTTCCTTCTTTTTTTCTGTTTTATTCCATCCAGGCTTTAAGCCTATTGGTTGATGACCCACCCCTGCTGGGTCCTCCCTCTTCAGTAAGTCCATCATCCACAGAACTATGCTAAGCCAATCAGCTGGACATTTCTTATTCAAGTTACACCACAGTTAACTATCACAGGGGGCAGCTGCCAGGCATATTCCCGCCTTCAAAGAGCTCACAGTTGAGATGGAGAGGGATCAATGAATAAATAATTACACAACAATGTAATGGATGCCAGAATGTGCCAAACCAGCCAGGAGGCAAGAGACTTTTCTCTCTCGTGTCCTTCCACCATGATATTTCTACCTTGGAGCCATCTGGTCATGGACAGAAACCATGAGCTAAAATAAACCTTTTCTCTTCTAGGCTTCCTTTCTCAAATATTTGGTTACAGTAGTGAAAAGCTGACCAACACAGAAAATAATACACAGACAATTGGTTTATGTGACACATAAAATAATTATATAATCATATAAGTAAAAGTATGACTGTAGGGTCAATATCTTTGGCTTCAAATCCATGCCCATCACTTTCTACTGGATAACGTTTTCTCTTTCTCACACGCAATATGGGACAATGATAGCAATTCTTCATTCACTTATTAAACTTTCCAATAAGTATTTACTGAGTATACACTATAGGTTTGTCACTCTTTAAAACACTAAGCTTTTGGAAATTTAAAAAGAAAATATTTTGACTTTCTAATACATTAGTAATCTATACTATACACATACACAAAAAAGGGAAATACAGAGCCTATCATACATTATAATTATCATGAAGTAAATACAGCCAGAATGGGGATATAAGGCAAAAGTAGACTACAGGGACAGAGAACTGAGAAATTCACACTGAGAAAACTGCAATAGAGTAAAAATTTGAAGGACACAATCAGAGCATGAATATGTCTGGGAATAAAGCACAGGGTGTGGAGGTGGCATGAAATGCAGAGGGAAGTGGGAGCCTAACTTGCTGAGGTCGAATCAGAAAACCCAGTATAATGGAGGCATGAGAGAAGTAGATAGTATAGTGGGCAGAGCTCAGAATGACAAAGGCCGTCTGAATCACATAGAGTGAGAGAGAGACTGAAGCACTTATGATGAGTGAAACCAGAAGTCCTGGGAGGCTCTGAGCTTGAAGTGGCTGGGATCCAGAGGAAGATGGCTACCATACTGAGAAGAAAGGTCTTATTCAAGGGATCAGGAGTTGTAACAGAGTGAAAAAGCAGAGAGGTCACTTAGAATCTATTATAATAACCCAGCAACTCTGGAGACTGGAAGAATCACTCAGTGGCAGCACAAACAGAAGACTTACAAAAGTATTACAGATGTCAGGTTTTCCACAAGAACTAGGGACAATGTGAAAAAACCTCAAAATCCTACTTGAATAATGTTACTTCTTTCATCTATGAATATTTGCATGACTTGGGGAAGAGGTCATGATATAAAATATTCCTTCATTCACAGAACCTTAACTTATCAAATCTTTTCATCACTGACCACTTGTTAAAAATTACCAGGGTACCTTTATCCATTCCACGGTATCCCAGCTTCTCAAAAATCTTTGTAATGCCCCAAAAAAGAGAACATATAATAAATAATACAAATACTGGGGGGGGAAATAGAACATGCCAAGTATTTAGAATTGATAATTTTGTAGGAATGGGCGACTAGATGGGACATAATCAGGGAGGCTACTGAGAATCTGTTTGTTTGTTTCAAGGAAGGGTCTCCCCATGTAGTACCTTGAACTATGTAGCCAGGCTGTTCTTGAACTCACAGCTATCCTCCTGTCTCAGCCTCCTGAGTGCTGGGATTACAGGTGTGTGCTGTCACACCTGGTGGATCCTGAGAACCCTGAAGGAAAAACAATTTTTCCAGTAGAACATGATATAACAGAAATATATTCCAGGATAGGAGGTTGTGGTGGATTGACAACTGGTGTTCCACTTGTAACACCCAGCTGAACTGAACCAGCGTGGTGCTGGGTGTGGGAGGCCCACCTGAGCATTGTTGTTAGCAGCACAAGACGCAGAATGAGAGAAGCTGAAATGGGGCTCTTGGGAGCTGGTAGAAGCTGTTGGGTGCTGTTAGAAGCTGTAAGGAGCTGATGGTTCTCTTGGAGGGAGCTTGTCATGCTGGCTTTCCTGAAGAACTCAGCTGCTCTCACTGTTGAAGGAGCTCAGGACCTTACTGTCACTGAGAATGGCTTCATTTCACTTTGGGGGCGTTCTGGTCCTCACTTTGAGCCTTGCTTCCTTGCTCTGGAGGGGAAGATGGTTTGCTGCTCAGTCCCCTGGAGAAGCTTCTCGCATTGGCTTTCCTGATGGGAACCTGGCTTTCCTTATCATTGGAGGAGCTTGAGACCTCACTGTTATTGAGGATGGCTGTGGTACTTTTCAGGGAGCTCTGGTTCTCAACTTTGTCATTTCCTGGCTCCAGTTCACATCCCTCAGCCTGCTAGCACAGATCCTTCATCCCACTGGCACAGACTTTTGAGCTTCTACCACTGACCTTTGGGCCTTCCCATGAAACATGCCTGCATGAGACATTGTCATGGGCTCTAGGCCTCCTGTTGGATTCATGGGAGGCATTGTTATGGGCTCTAGGTCTTCAGCTAGACACATACAGGGCATTGCCATGATGCTATAGTTTGTGTCTGGATGTCCCCCGCAAAGCCTCATGCTATCATGGGGTGGGCTTTTAGAATTTATGATTGATCCATAGTCCAATGCTGGGATTATGGGTGTGAGTGCTACAATCCCCTGGGGTGGATAGTTTGCACACAATGTAAGGAAGGGAAAGAGGCTGCTTGCCCTCACTGCTCCTCCCTTTCACTCTTGTTGCTTTTGCTACCTTCCACCACCATGAACTGTTGCTCTCTGCCATGGGCCACCCTGCCTTGGAGTCAGCCAAGTATGGACTAAAACCTCCACAAACTGTAAGTTAAATAAGCCTTTTCTTCCTTGATTCTGGGTGTCAGGTATTTTGTCTCAGCAACAAGAGAAAAGTAACCAAGACAGAATTTGGTACCAGACGAGTGGGGTCATTGTTGAGACTATACCTGACCATGTGGTTCAACAGCCTTTGGAAATGGCTTGTGGGAAGTGTTTGGCAAGGTTCAGAGATGTCCCCTGAAAGAGTAGAGCTGGAACGCCTTTGGCTGTTCTGTATGAGAGATTCTGGTCAGAGCTCAGGAGATCAGAAGGTTGACAGAAATCCTGTTGGTAAAGACAGGGTTCGGGAGGTTTCTGCTGGGAAGGAGGACTGCAGTGGCTGTTGGACTCCAGACGACGTATGTTATGACTTGGCAGAAAGTTTGTCTACATTTGGCTTGTATCTAGAGACTTTGCCTAAGACTGGGATTAAGGGCAGTGGACTGATTAATCTGGCAGAAGAAATTTCAAGGCAGTTAAATGTTGGGGCAGTGGCATGGCTATTATTGGGAGCTTTTAGCCAGATTTATGTTGAGAACCAAGAGCAAAGAGCCCAGCAGAATGATTTAAAACGTTGTTTGGCCAAAAAGGAACTCCTGTAAAGCTGTGAATTGCAAAGGTG